AAGCATCTCAAGCCCCAATGCAAAGCTCCACGTGGCAGCTTTGCATTGGGGCTTGAGATGCTTTATTAAGGCTGAGAGGGGCATCCGGGGAGGAGAAGAAGAAATATCAAAGGCCTGAATAAACTGCTGAAAGAAGATTCCTGAGTTGCGTCTTCCTTGCGGGCAAGGGGTCGCGACAGCTAGGACATTGATTTTTATCACTTAAACCTCCAAGAGTTAAAGCAAACTTCATCTAATGAGAAAGTATAGAGGCCAATGAAAAAAGGAGTCTGAACTTAGATGTTCTCACTTTTTCCTCAGTGAGGGGTCCATTTTGCATTTTTCCAAAGCAATAAGAACCCTGCAGCAGAAAAGGGAAGAAGTGACATCATTATAATTCTGTGTCAGGCATTAAATTGTCTTACTGGAGCTGAGAACAACTCCAGTAAGGTACATACTATTATTATCCCCATTTTTCAGAGGAGGAAACTGAGTCATAAAAATAGTAAGGATCTTGGGCTGGGGTTGTACCTAGGGATGCAGCCTAGTACGACGGCGGGTGAGGGGTAGGGGGGTGAGTAAGGAAGTTGTCCCAGGCCACACAGCTGGTAGATTGCAGAACCAGGACTTAAACCCGAGTCTGACTCTGGAATCAGACACTCTAAACCAATATGTATACTTCCTCCCCAGGAAGCCTTGGAATGGAGGCTGAGGGTAACAAGAGCAACAAGAATAAAGATGTATGCTTAAGCCCATCTTCCTAACAGTCTTAGTCAGTACCAGGGCCTTCCAGTCCAGTAGCTGGTCCCCACAGTAGAAAGGAGGTTGTGGGCTTATAATCCTTATAAATCATGTTTCAGATTTACAAGAATTGAAGAAGTATCCATGAAGACAAAATGCTGTGAAGAACTGTGTTTGTGAAGACAGCCTGTGATGAACTAGGATACTCTGTAATTTTATCAAATACCAAAAAAATCCTGTCTGAACCCTTTAGTCTACAAGAAGGATCATTTTTAATATTTTTAGAACCTAAGAGTACACAGCATGAGGGCAAATGCTATGCAAATTAAAAAAAAATGATCTGAAGAACTACTCCTAAACAATATTTTTGAAAAGGAAAAACAAATTTTGTTGACATAAGTATAACTTCTTCAACACAGAAACTAGCAGTAATTCTTTATCACTTTCAGAGGAAAACAATCCTTTGGGCCAAATAACCAAGAACAAAGAACACACATCTTTCCAATACCATTCCAAGTCTCACCCATAATGCAATGCTTGTTGGCAGGTCCATATTCTACATGCAAATACAATCAGCATTTTATCTTATGCCTACTGGAAAGTTTAATAAATGAGCCCATGGGACATCACAGACCAACATAGAGCCCGATTATAAGACAACAGAATAAGCATTTAACTGCAAAATGATGTGTATCCTTAAATACAGTGGCTGAATCCTGATCTTCATTCTGCTTAACATTTCTTCTCTTCACTTAAATTCACCTCCCTGCTGCTGAAGAAGCAAGACGCGTGGGTGGTAGGATGAAAGATTCAGCCCTGTGCAAATCACACACTTTAGTAATCCAAGGAGAAAATAAATCCACAGAAATGGTGCTTATACCAAGCCGAAAGAAAATAACACATTAAGATATGCTGTCAAATGGTTTCCCAAAATGAATAATCAGCCAACCAATCAGTCAATCTGTTTATACATTTTCCTAGTGTAATTTCAAACCACTCTGGATGCTAGCTTTTTGACTAGATGACTACCCCTGAACTCATTCTGCAAACAAGGCTGGTTGTAGAGATTAAAGAGGCCCTTAAAGAGGACCTGGGAATGTTAAATGATTTGCAAAGTGATTGGAACTCTAGCTTACCAGTTGAGTCAGCCCCCGAAGCTCTGCCACTTGTCTGCTCCTCAGCATTGACAAGTTGCAGGTCTGTGTGCGAAGGGCCAATGCTAGGACTGCTAGTGTCTTCAGAGTGGGTTGTCCAGCTGCTCTCGGAGGTCAGAGGGCATCTCCTCAAGGAGTCAAAAGAAGGACATGTCCAGCAGGGCATGGTCAATGGGAGGGCTGAAAACAGACCAAAAGCCAAGAGGATACAATATGAATAGCTGTCCTTTGTTTATCATTAGTGCTTGTCTTGCTTTGATGTCACTTAGATCCTTTGAAATCTCAGTAGCCATACAAGGTAAGAAATACAGGAAGAATTTCTCATGATACAGACAGGGAAAACTGACTTTGACTCCATGAAGAGACACTATCAAAATCAGCACTAAAACTCAGGTCTCCGGATACTTGAATGAAAGAAAATCTCATAGGAGTATGAGTTACTCTAGGATCTAATTTTATTTCTAAATTTAGATTTCAGCTTCATCTAAGCCCAATATACATAAGTCTTATAGTTTCACCATTTCCTTTATTTTTAGTGGCACACCAATAATCTCAAAAAAACTCACCAATTGACATTGGAAAATTAGAGCAAGTTTGGGTTAATGGATAAGAGTAGATATGAGGGGCTGGGGCTGGGGCTCAGTGGTAGTTCACTTGCCTGGCATGTGTGAGGTACTGGGTTTGAATCTCAGCACCGTGTATAAATAAATAAAATAAAGATCTATCAACAACTAAAAAACAAAAATTAATTTAAAAAAAGAATAGATATGAAACCATATTTGTACATGTATGTGATATGCCTATGCTTGGTTTGAGTTTGACAATAAATGAAGACTCTGCAGACTGTTAAATATTAAAATGGAGATTTACTGGGCCTGCTGTGATACAGCAAAAAATATCTTTAAGGGAAAAATGCATAGAACTAGGCTTTATCTCCTTATCCCAGAATACTAAGTCAGCCTTTCAAAACCACTTCAAAAACTGTTTTGTGTGTTTTCTTTCTCTTTATATCAAACTTTCTAATTCTCTTAATTGTCCTCAGTTAACTACCTACCACATGCTTTCTCCATGGTGCTGCTTAAGAATAATCACTACAAATTTACCATAGAGTGCTGAAAAGAATGTGAACCAGAAAGGAACAAAAATGAAGGAAACTACCATTTATTGAGTAGCCATTCAAAGGTCAGACCTTTCACAAATTTTAGGTAGCTTCATCTATCAATTCTGAGAAGCAGGAAATAGTCTTATTTCATACAGAGAGAAAAAAAAAATTCAGAGGTTAAGAAACTCTCCAAGAGATGCAGTCACTTCTCCTAGCCAGAAAACCAAAACAACAATTAGATTAAGAAACACAAAGAAAAAGTAATGATTTACCAGGAAAAAAAAAGAACAAACAGCAATATTTCTGACATAGTATAACATAAGGAAGAATTTGCATTCATTATTTTCTTAGGCATTTATAAAACATTCATATCTTTTCTCTGGAGGATTCATAGCTCACATCTTCTTTTCTTTAAAAAATGTCACCTCCTTTTCAAATTCTTGAGCTGTTGTCTCCAAAGATGCAAGGTCCCTTTCTCTGCTTTATTTCCCTTAGAGTCATTACTGACCAACATGCCTTCCATACTTGAACTCAAGCTCCTTAGGAAACTGGGATGTTTATTTACTTCTATACTCCCATTTCTAGAATAATACCAGGCACTTAATATTTGTTGGTCATGTTTGTAGAAGCACTATAAATCATTCCATAATAGTCTATATTACTAGGTAGTGGTAGATGTCTTAATCACAGCAAACTCTGGAGGCTGAGGCAGGAAGATTATAAGATTGAGGCCAAACTCTGCAATTTAGCAAGACTCTGTCTCAAGATAAAAATAAAAAAGGACTGGAAGTGTAACTTAGTGGTACAGTGCTCCTGGTAGCTTCATCTATCAATTCTGAGAAGAAGGAAATAGTCTTATTTCATACAGAGGGAAAAAAAATTCAGAGGTTAAGAAACTTTCCAAGAGATGCAGTCACTTCTCCTAGCCAGAAAACCAAAACAACAATTAGTACCAAAAAAACCCCAGTACCAAAAAACCAAAACCAAACAAACAAACAAACCCCCCAAAACCTATGACCTATACCCAAGGGAAAAATTTAAATATTAGGCAAAATGCAATAATATTATTTAAAACATATCACAGGGCTAGCAAGAGAGCAAAGAATTAACAAAAGCTAAGTGAAAGGTGGAAACAGAAACATAAGCAGAGCATATAACCTAATTTTCACATGCACTCTGAGGATTGTGAATAAACCAGAGACCCTTGAGTCTGAGTATTTTTTAAAATATTTTTTAATTATAGATGGACACAATACTTTTCTTTATTTTTTTAATGTGGTGCTGAGAATTGAACCCAGTGCTTCACATGTGCCAGGCAAGCACTCTACCACTAAGTCACAACCCCAGCCCCGGATCTGAGTATTTTAAGTCTCATGTGAAGAAGGTGAAGGAGAAAAAACCCAGGGCCAATACAAGATATAAATCTAACAGATGATGTGATACATAAATGAGAATTCCCAATAGACTGAATGAATAAATTAGGAATAACTTGTACTCTCCTGCTGGAGATAGCAAAAAAAAAATGATCTGCCTTAGGTTTGGGTCCAGGGTAGAGAGAAAAAAATATTATCACCTGTCCCACAAAGATTTTGCATTTAGAACTGCTTTTGTGGCCTGAAAATCCTCCAGTCTGAGACTTTAGCTGAAATATCTCCAGTTAATAGTGGCCTTAGTTTCTCAAGAAAAGCATATATTAGTCCTTTCTGGAGGAAGATATCTTTAAACCAGGCTTCTCAGGCAGAATGTCCCTAAAATTGAGGGGCAAAAATTGAAAAAATGCTGGCTGAGAATTTCCCAGAACTTGTAAAAGATTTTACTTGTCAAATGTGAAATCCCAAGGTATCTCAATGTGCACCTAGTAAATATAAATAATAAATCACTAAATACATAAGAAATAAAGTTGCCATGAAAAGGGGCAAGCCAGGTATTGGAAGCAGGGCATAGATAGAATCAGAATCAGACTCGAAAATAATTCAGACACTAGAATTATTAAGCAGAAAATATAACTATGTTTAAGAAGTTTCAGGAAACAAGAAATTAAGAATATGAAAAAGGAGCATGGAGAATTCAAAAAATGAATCTCTGGAGAAGAAAAACTATGCTACCATAATCACAAAACTGAATGGACAACAAAGACCAAGGATGAAAATATGAGAGAGAAAAAGAAAGAATAATAAAAAAAATTCCTTAAAAAAATAATGAAAATATGAGAGAGGAATAAAAACATGGAGGGAAGACTGACCTTCTCTCATTGATATCTAATCTGAGCTCCTAAAAGAAAGAAAATAGGAGAGGGGCAAAAATTGAAAAAATGCTGGCTGAGAATTTCCCAGAACTTGTAAAAGATTTTACTTGTCAAATGTGAAATCCCAAGGTATCTCAAGCATAGTAACTGAAAAGAAATCCATGAAAATGTATTCTTTCTCCTTCCTTTCTTCCTCCTTCTGACAAAAGAAGCATCACAGTCCCAAACCTAGGCAGGGAAATGGAACCACAGATATACTCAGTAGGAGAATAAATAGGAACTGCTTTTGAAAATGATTTGGTATTATCTGATGAACTTGATGATGAATACATCCCACGATGCAGCAATTCCCCTCCTACTTTTTCATATGAAAAAACACTTGCACATGTTCAATCGGATATAGGTTAAAACACTCAGGGAAAAATGAAACAAAACAAAAATTTTCATTAAAGCATATTCTTAACTGTCAGTAAGTGGAATCAACCCAAATGTCCATCAATAAAAGAACAACATGGATAAATTAATCAAGGTGTATGATTAATTTATTAATGTAGCAGGATACAGAGCAACAATAACTAAAGGAATTACAACACCAGGTAATGACATGGGCAAAGATCACAAATTATGTGTTAAAGGAGCAAATCACAAAATAATAACTACAGCATTATTCCATTTATTCAAAGTTCAACACCAGCCTAAATTAAGTTATATCATTCTTGATGCACATGTAGGTAGTAAGCTGTCAAAAAAAAAAAAAAAAAGCAATGTAGTTGTTATCATGAAGCTCAGGAAGGTGGTGATACAGGGGAGAGGGAAAAGGGTATGATGAAGACAGGAATGCAATCCAGGGGGACTTCTGTTTGATGACAATATCCTAAAAACTGGGTGTTGTTCTTTATAATTTAATATACATTTTAAATATTTTTGTATGTATTTAATAGTGACTGAAACTCATTAAAACCACATATCAAAAAAAGACTGATTAGTCAAAAAAGGAAGTTATTCTAATTATTCATATTTTCACATTGGCTCTTCATACTTGTTCTTCTTCAAAGAGAAACTAGGAATAATGTGATGGGGACAGGCAAAGTTCCTATAGCTCATAAACTGTCCTCCTTTGGTCTAATACGCTTTCTTGATAGCTTCAAAATCTTGGATGAGTTATTTTCTTTAGGTTCTTAGTAATGTCCTTAGGCCATAAGCTTAGTTGAAATGAGAGAAAAAGTATCTTTATTGAGCCTGGATCTGGCTCTTCTCCCAGGGGCCAGACCTTTGATGCCTGAGCCAGACAGCAGTGGGTTGCTGCCATCACTATGCTTTATAATCACATCCACCCAACAAAGAATAAAGCGAAAGGAAGATCAAAATCTGCCTCTTCTCCTTTCCTATGAAACTTAAAGGGCCCTAAATCAAGATTGCCAGGCTCACAGGATGGACTCCGACCTGAAGCTGGGGTCAAATTACTTAATTAATCTGCTTCTCTATTTTCTCACCTGTAAAATGGGACTAAGAGCACAAACTTCATTAGGAGATTAAGTTAATACTAACAAAGCCCTTGGTAAAAGTGCTTGGGACAAAAGAATTGTTCAAAATGGGTGAAATGGTGGTAGTTATCATTTCCAGATTGGCCGTATGTCTTCATGTATTTGAAATCTCCATTTAGATCTCTAACTTCACATGTTCAAAACTAAGTTACTATTATTCCTGCCAAACCAGTCCTTTTATCCTTTCAGCGATCAGAATGAAACCATTATGTCATCCTCAATTCTTTTCATATTTGACCCACAAGTTCTGTTACTTCTACTTTCAAAAATTTTATTTGGATTACAAATC